TCCGTCCGCCGCCGAACTTCTCCCTCCACCAGTCACACTGCGGCGCAAACGCTGCTGTCCACTGTATAGTCGATAGGATTCCGGCTTCAGGCTCAGTTTCGATTCCGTCGCACGCCTTTAGGTTCGATATCTGAACTTTAACCACTTGTTTATTTTCAGATGTTTTACTTATTTTAATATGAAATGAAGTTTTAGATTTAGAAATCTTCTCTGAGACTACATCCATTTGATTAAACCAATCAACCAAAACTCTTTCGTCACTGGGTACATGAAAACGCGATTTATGTAAATTTTAGATTTATTTGGGAAGCGTCTTTAGTCGATGCATTCAATTTCTTATTCTAGCTTCATGGTATCTGCTGGGTGAGTGGATTATGTGTTTGATATGCATCAAATTATTGATCGGTAGAGGATGGGTTTGTGTTTGATCATAGCTAATGGAGTTCTGTCCAACTTGTGGGAACATGCTGCAATTTGAGTTGCCCAATATGGGAAAATCTTCCAGATTCTTCTGCCCGACTTGTCCTTATGTGTGCCACTTGGAGAATAGGGTATGTGATGCCGAAATTTCTTTAGCTTCTTTGTTTGCGCCTCTTAGTTTCTTATGTGGTGATCTTAAGGAGTGCATTATCGTTGTTCTACCATTCAGGTAAAGATCAAAAGAAAGCAGCATTTGATAAAGAAGGAATTAGAACCCATAATCTCTGATGAGGATATGAAAAATGCAGCTCAAACTGAAGGTACACATTTTTCCTTCTAGTTATTAATTTACCCTTCTGTGCTCAGTTCTTTGTTTTCCTTTAAGTTTTTACCTGCTGGAGTTAGACAAAAGATTTAATCAGCTCCAACCGAAGGACACACCAATTGAGCTAGAGGAACAATAATAAATTTGCGCTTGGGATAACTAGGTTAGATTGACGGATGTTGAAGAGAAGGATAGACAACATGAAAACTTTGCACTTTTTAGGGAAGCTTTGACTTCCAAAATCCTCTTACACCAACCAATTGGGATAAGTTCCGGTCTGGGGACAATGGATCAATAAAGATAGTTGACTGAGAGAAACCCTGAAGTAGTGATATTCTATTTTTTTGTAAATATTAGAGACTGAGAAAATATATTGAACAAAAGAGAAGGGGAAACAGCCTAAGGGGCAGGGTAGAGGGAACCCGTTAAGAGAACTAGCCCAAAAAAGCCTTCCAATCATCTACGGTCATAAGGAGGCAGACTACAGTTACAAAATAATTTAGTATGCGGCATCATATTCTAGAATCTTTTTTGAGGGAATCATGGATGGCTAAATGACCGGCAACTCCTGTATTTACCTGCAGAAAGGTCCTCCTCTTAACCTCAAATTACAGTAAAGGATATCTGTATTTGTCTTTCACTGAAATATCCTTAGATAAGGGGTTTATCGTTGGTTATAAATAAATTGGATTGGAGGGGTTAGGGTTGAGTGAAGTTTGGAAATAGTTTTGCTGGAGAGAGAACCCTTTTGCAACATAATTTCGGCCTATTTTCTTAATTTTCCAATATCAAGTTCCTCCGTGAACCTTTCTAAAACCTAACAGAAGCACCATCACCTAGTTGAGAAGTCGCACTTCGTTTGGTAAGGGGGGCTAACTTTTCAACAGACTTCCAAGGGCTTTTACCCAAAGCTAAGAGCAAATCCAAAATTAAGTGGCCATATTATTCTCTCCCATTTTTTCTAATAATTTCGTGCGAAGGAAAATTTGGTCTAGCCCTTAAGGGCGTAACTAGATGACTACCACCTTATTCTGACCCTCCCAAAATAAGTTTCAGTCTTTCAGATGTATCTCTCAATTTTTGCAATTGCAGCAACTTTGTTGGAAACTTTAACAGTGAAAGATACTATAGGAGGAAATTAGTAAGAGGTCTAGAGCCAACGTAAGACGCCCATCACCCTCCCTTAGCAATGGGGGCTGCATTCCTCTTTATCAATTTATAAATTAGTTCTTGCCCCTGCCCTTTTGATATAAACAAGAAATAGGAATAGTTACCAAATACTTATGGTTCTTAAAAATTGGAAATAAGAAACATGAAACCCAAACGACCGTAGATAATTTAATTCCATGGACTTAGATGGTTCACAACCTGTAAAATATTTTATGAGAGGAAAAAAAAACTTTGCAGTCTATGAACTCGTTTTGATTTTCTTTCCATAATAATGAATAATACGGTGATCTATTGAAAAATATATATAAAAAGAATATGGTGGTCTATTTTTGAAAGTTGTAGGCACAGCCTGCATAACTTGTTATTTCTTTTTTTCTGAATAGATGTAAAGAATTAGGCATAACTTTTTCTTTTCTTTTCTAAATGTTCTCCCCATTATGTAGCAACGTGTCCAAATTGTGCGTTTGGTAAGGCTGCTTTTATACAAGTACAACTGAGATCGGCTGATGAACCTGCTACAACTTTTTACAAATGCATGAACGAGGACTGCAGAATTAATTGGCGCGAGGATTAAGTACTCCAGATCTACATTTTTTCTTTGAGTTCAACACGTGCTATAGAAATTTGAACTTCTTTACCTTTTAGTCAAAAGGAAATGCCCCAAAATACGTCTGTAAAATCATGAGTTTTTCATTTCTGATTTTTTATTCTCTTTTAGCTAATGTAGACGTAATTTCTATTAATAAGATATTCCTTACAGGAATAGCATTGTTCTAAGGTTGTTTGTTCTGATTTTCTATTTGTCTTTTAGAAAATGGCGTCCCCCAAATCCTTTACTTTTTTCGATTCATTTTATCAACTTCTATTGACTACATTGTACATTGTCCTGAGGATGTTCGCTTTTGAAATTTGCATGGTTACGAGTATTATGACCAAGCATGGGAGACATTCAAATATTTGCTACATCCAACATTATATCTGATACTCAATTCTTTGACATATCCCACGACTAAGCATTTTCTAAGAGGACATGTAAAAAGATTATTCTTAATTCTTGAAGAATCGCTCCCTTGGAAGGTTTGCTAAATTCAGGATCCTGGTATGTAATCTTGCAGCCTTTTTTCTAAGTATAATTTTGCAGCCAACAATCTAACATCGCCATATATGGAACCCACGTTTGTAAAGAATTTAAGATCTTTCACTTGAATGTTGTAGACAAGATAAAATGATATGGAGAGAGATAAGAGGGAGTTCTTGGTGCCATAATGAAAAACTTGCACAAATCCTAAGCCATGATGTAACATGTATCCACTAGCTGGAGCAATAATGTTGTCAAATGGATATCATATTATAAAAGTAAAATGAAGGATAATAATAACAAAACCAATGTTCTGTTGTGATTTTGTTTAATTTGAGTGTAGATCTCATCTAGTTGATTGCAAATTATGGTGGAGTTTTTCGGGTACTCACAATAATAAAAAATAAGGAAAAGAAAMTAATATTTTCTTCTACAACTTCCTTTTGGCATTATTTTATTTCTTAGTACCCTAGGCTAAGCCACATATTTTTGGCTGTATTCTGGCCTGATTCCAATCAGATTTATACAATGCAACTCTAACAAAAGGCCAAAAACACCCACTGAATCCAAATAACAATTCCCATACCACCCTTTTTCTTAAGGTTACAGCCAACATTTGCTAGCAAACAAAAAATTACATCAATCTTTGAGCATATCCAATTCTTTAAAAACACACCCTCTAATTATATGCTTGAATGTTCTTCCATAGTTAAACATAATTAGGGGCTGTTTCTTTTGATGTAGCCATACAGATAAAATCTTCGCCCTCACCCTCAGCCTAATCTACTAATAAACAAAAGCAAAAACAAACAATTCTTTCTAAAGTCGGCCAGATCAAGACTAGGAGAGATAGATCTCAGAAATTGAATAAGGACAATATTTTTTGTTTGTTTCTAAAATCAATATTTTGGAATAGGCTCAAATTCCATGATGGTCACGTATCTTAGAAATTAATTCCATCAAAAATAAAAATAATAAAAGATAAAAATAAAACAATGAAAACAATATTTTCTTACTTCTGCGAGTTGGGAGTATTTGTATGAAGATGTTGTAGAGAACTGATGTATAAAATTGTTTAAAAATAAACTAACAAATGCACTAGAACAAAGTATCAATTTTACTAGGTGAACAAAGTCCTAAYGGAAAGGTTTAGAATGTTTTGAGATATCTTCTAACAGCCTGAAGTTSAAGCTCTTAGAAGAAAACTCTATGACTTAAAACTTTTGTTGTCTCCCATATTTAATCTTAAGAGTGGATGAAACTTCTTTGGAGATTAGTGAGAAACACAACAATCTGTTATCCCCAATTAACTTCATAGGAATCAATTGCAACCACTGAAAAATAGACATCGTAATCTTACATTCACAAGCATCTAATAACCCTGCTATCTAGATGCCAGGAATCTTGGATGAAAAGATGACAGAGATAGAGTGACAAAGATGCTCTTCCTCAACCCTAAAAAACGCAATCAATTCATGCATCTAAATCTACAGCTGCCATTTTTCAACTGTGAAATCAATTATGTTCTTTTGAACTGGGGGAGAAACAAACAAACACCTAATTAATAGCTAAAGCACATATCAGAAGTCAGAACTGAGAAGCAAAATTTCCCCCAAATTTCTGAAACACATATATGCTTGCATAACTAACCTCTCAAATCGAAACAAACTTCAAAATTCTCAACTGCACAGAAGAAAATTGAATGCAAAGAGAGAAACAGAGCATCTCTGCGCGTATATTAACTAGACATCATCTCCTTATTTTTCTGGAATTAACCAGAAACACATCCTCTTATATTCAGCAATTTATAACAGAATTCCGCAACTACATCAGCATCACAACCACACATCCAAATCTCACCATCATCATCATCGCAAGAAGAAGAAGAAGAAGAAGAAGTAAATCGAAAAGAAATCAAAGAATATGTACACTGAGATCGGAGTTGTGAACTTCGAAATCTAGAGAAATATCTACCTGGTGCTGCAAAGAACACAGTCCAAAACCCTCAACCAAACATGCCGAGCTCGCGGATACACCCGATTGGTGTACGTTCTAGACTCCCGAAGTATCTCTTCCATGGTCTCGACGAAGAGATTCAAGCTCCGGAGTGGCGGAACGTAGAGAGTCAAAGGAACTGCGGAGAAAGCCAGTGTGAAGAAGAACTGCAACATCGTTACCGGAGACGGAGAAACGCCGATCACAGTCGCCGGAAAATTATAGGGTTCGGAGGATTTTGGGCTCTGCAAAATTTGGAGGAGAGAGGGAGAGCTCTGGAAGATTGCAGAATGGAGTTTATGCAAATGGAGGTGAAAGACTGGTAGCAAGCGGCTAGGTGGGGCCCACTGCCAAAATTTTCTGGATTTTGAATTTTATTTTATTTCATTTTCTTGGAAATTATGTGAAACTTTTTGTGGGGTATTTCATATTTGGACTCTCATCTTACATTAATTATAGGGTCCACGTGTACTTTATTTTGAAAAAAATGCAATTATTAGGAAAAAATAATCATTTTCTTTTAATACAATCGAGGAAGGAAGATTAACTTTTGATATTTAGAGAAAGAATACAATGTGATGAATATAGCTTATGTTGGTATGATTTTTTTCTTTTAAACATTATTTAACTTACTCGACTAATTTCGTTGAATAACTACTTCAATTAATTTTTAATTTTTATATCGTGATTGTTTAAGTTAATTTAAGAGTGATTATTTTTCAAGTTAGMTAGCATTTTAAATCCAGACGAGAAAATTTAACCATTGTAGGGAAGAACACAACTCACAGATACAATAGTCTAAAGTTAAAAAAATGATTTAAGTTATGCGATCAATGATCATTTGGTGAATAATTACATTAAAAAGTTTTAAACATTAAAAAAAAAACAATTTTTACATCACACATTTCTAACGTGACTTTAGCTATAAATGAAGTTAATTTGGAATCAGAATGACTTGAAGGGAAAATGATTATGTTTTTGTCTTTAAAAATTATAAAAAATTTACTTATTTGAACTTTTAATCTTAATTTATTGAAATACAAAAATGATTTATTAATAAAAAAATTAAAATATAGCAGCTACTAATTGAGTAATTAAGACGTGTTTAGGTGATGATTAGAAAATAGAAATTTAAAAATTCATCGAAAGTCATGGTTAAATATTTAATATATAATCTAAAATAATATATTTATTTAAAATTTTAATTTTTAATGTAATTTTTTATTTTAAAATTTTAAATTTAAATTCTGAAACCAATAAAAATGTAAAGATATCGTTTTAAAAACAAATCTCCAAAATGCATATTTACTAAATTTATTTGATTCGGTTAATCTGGAAACAAGAAACAAATCAACAAACAAGATCTAAGAATGAGAACTCAGATTTAAAATTATTCAAATTCTGGTCTGACAAAACAAACCATTAAAATATTAGGTGAAGGGTTGCATAATAAACAAGTGTGGCAGCAGCCCAATGGTGGGATCTGTTGTTGAAAGTGAAACAATTTAAAGAAACATATCCGAAAAATATATTTAACTAACAATTTGACTTTAATTTCGTGACCCATCAAATTAATTTCTTGTGGGCATTTTATGGTCCACGAGAGTGCTGAGTGAAGAAAATACTTGATCTTACTAAATAGAATATGTTTGATTTCTGTGACTCAAAAAATTTTGTACATATAAACTTTGTATTCAACTTTAAATTTTAAAATTTATCTCTAACTATATATTAGTCTTAATTTTTAGAACAAATTCCCATCACTCAAATAACATCATAGTATGGTTATGATTACTTAAAAAGGGAAAAGTTATTATTCGAACTCACAACCTTTTCATACATATCAATTACTACTAAACTAACTATATTTGCTTTTGACCTTTAAAATATCAATCTTGTCTGGTGAATATGCCTTTAATAGGATTATAATCTTTATGTTCACAAAGCTTAATGCTCTGATCCATATCCATTAGAATTCTCCAAGCTGATAAAAATCCACAAAGTTTGAACATGATTTAATAAAATCAATCGAAGCCGAACGGACCGAATTTAATATTGTATTTTATCAAATATAATCGACCAACTTTACTAAATTGCTTTAGTACTCAATTTCGATTTTGCCTCAGCACTTTCCTACTTCATCTTAGGCTTATGGTACAATCAATATAGAAACAAAATCTTAAAAGTTTTCATTTAAAATTGGATAAAAGTTCAAATCTTATTTCCATTACTAAAGACCCATTTGGTAATCTTATAGTTTTGTTTTTTTTATTATTTCTCGTTTTCGATTATAAAAAAAACGTAAACATTTGGTAATGTTGTTTATGGTAATTTTGAAAACAACAAAATCGAATTTTAGTTCCCGTTTTATTACTCTTAGACTTTATAAATATTAAAAAATAAATATAACATAAAAACATTGGACAGACATTTAATTAAAAAAATTAAAGTTTCATATGAAATTCGTACTTTTCAGAAAATAAATTTGTTGATAGCTAGGAAAAAAAATAAATGGTTATCAAATAAATTTCTCTTTTTTTTTTCAGTTAAAAAAGAAAACAATAAATAGGTACAAAACGTAGTTATATATATATTTTTTATTATTGAAAAAGAGAAAACAAGGAGAATAAATGAGAAACAATAAACAAAACTTTACCAAATAGGCACTAAACTTTCATATTTTGATCCATGAGTTTTTAAATCATCTATTTGGTCTCTAAACTTTCAAGATATCTATTTTAGTCTTAAAATTTTAAAAATAACCATTTTGATGTATTTGGTCTCTAAACTCGAATACAAGCATTATTAAACGTCCCATTATAGGTGTTAAAATATCAATGATAAGTTAATGGTGATAACCAAAATGATTATTATTTTAACATTTATTGGAAGTGAATTATTGCCTGCCACGTATCGACAACAAAGGTTATTACTCACTCAAACGAAGGGACAAACCAGACAAGAGGTTATAGATAATAATGTTGAGCCGAAGTATATTTCACATTTCGGTCGACCTTCCCGAAAGACTAGCCAACCTTAAAGAACATCTGTAGGTGCAAGCACTTAACAGATTCTCAGACAATACACTGTGATTTTTGGACCAGTTGTAGAGTCGTTGGAGTGCAGTAGAAGACTCGAAAGCGCTTCTATTTTTAGATTATAAAAGTACTTACTTGGACGTCATAGTGTTTCACTCTATTTTTCAGGTCTCTTCCTTCGTCGGCATCATTGTACGAACTTCGCTGAAGACTTTGATCATTTTTCTTGATTGAACAAAATTTAAGGACCAAAATAAAATAAATCTAAAAATTAACAAAATCAAAATAAATATTTTAAAAGTGAAGCTAAACAGAATATTAATATAAGCCCTGAACCAGGCTTAAATCTAAGATAAGATGCTAAAAACAAATGTAAATATACGAAATGCGTAATCTTAAGGTGGTTCCAATTTCATATTACCTTTAGTGCATAAAACATCCTAAATCGGATAATTCTGCAAAAAATTAAATTATTTTTTATTTTAACATATTTAGATTGAAACAATGAATATATTCATTGTAGAGGGTTGCATATGGAAAATTTCCGATATTACATCACTTTTATTTATTGTCAGCCCTGTCAACATAAATAACACGAGATCCAATAACATGAAATGATTACTTAGGAAAGAAATTTCATTATGTGAAACAAGAGAGTAGATATTATAATATTAACACGGATGCCACTTGTGATTTTCCTCGACGTGTTGGTGCGATATGGTTTCGACAACATCTCCTACCTTCTGTCCAGATTTATGGACATTAGCTGTTGACAGATAGCTTAACAAAATGAGGTTGCTTTGTGTCTCTAGAATTTTGGAGATTAGGATTGTTTTAAGGTTGCTTTTGTGTGCATTAAAAGGGCTTAAATAAATTGGCAGATTGCTTAACAAAAGAAGCAATTTCTTCACATTTCTTTGTTTCGTGGTCTCCTTGATTTGCTTAATAGTTTCTTAATTCTTCAGATGAATATTTGAATTCAAATGTAGCCAAGTGACTCTTGTTTCTTAATGGAAGTTTCTTATTAAAAAAAAAAATTCTCAATTTTATGTATCTAATAGTATCATTTTCATGTGTCCCGGCTCCCAATATATCAACTTTTTGTTAGCAAATTTAACAAATTGTTTAATATAATGATTTAATTGCGAATTTCTAATACATTAAAAATAAATTCCGTAATTTTAAAAATTAGTATGAAACATGTGCGGTACACGTGAAACTTCATGGTTTCATTTTAAAGTATAAAAACAAAAAAAAAAAACTAATTAAATAGTTAATTTTTTTAATATAATTGGACTTTCCCTCGCTAAATTTTTTTGTATTTTCCATGTTTATCTCATTACGTTTTGATAATTCTCATAACCTATACTGATTTGGTTGATATGACTAAAAAAATTGAGAAACGTCAATTACTTTAGAATTTTTCATAAGTAAAATACAACAAACAATTATAAATAACTTAACACACGATTACTTGAACTTTTTTTTTTCTCTAAAAAAACACACATATTCATGGATTTTCATTTTTTTGTTGCTCCTAAACACAACCATGCATAAAAGAAAATAAAACTTTGTTTTGATTTCTTATTTGAGTCAAATAATTTAACTAAAATACAAGAAAATGCAAGATATTGACTAAAGGATAAAACCATGCCGAAGGATAAAGAAGGCCAAGTTTTGGTGAGAAAATAATTTTGAGAGAAAAAGTAAAAACTCCCTATAAAGTTGTAAAATATAAAGCATTACAAAACTTTTAAAATTTCTTATTAATTATAATTATAAATAAATTATAAAATTTTAAATTAATTTATAGAATCACAGAGACACAACTATACACATTCTAATGCAGTTATAATATTTGATGTGATTAAATAATAAAAATAAAGTATAAATTAAGAGAAAAAAAAAGAAAAATCGAAGGAAGTAATGTGGGATAAAGAGGAGGGAATAGAATGAGAGAGAATTTTATATTAAAAGGACAAAATTGTAGCCAAATAATTGAGAAAATGTTTAAATTAAAAGACAAAATACGGACAAAAAGTTTTATCCCCATTTTTATACGGAGTATAGACGAATCACCGAATTGAAAATTATCTAAGCTCAGGGACCATAATAAAATATTTGTATTTTTACGTTTGCCACATGATACGCGGCATACTCCAAATCCCAATAAATCCTTCTTCTTCAAAAATCGTGCAGTAATGGCGCCTTCACATTCTCAGCAGTAAATTCTGCTGCTGCTCCTCCATTGCTGCAAAAACCTCTTTCTTCGACTCTTCAACTTCCCCTCCATTTTCCGGAGCTCAATGAGGAAGAAGCGCCGAGTTCCGGAGGTTCTATGGCGGCTCTTCCGGCATCGTGCACGTACGCTTGCCGAAACCATTGTGTCATTACTTCCCTCTGCTTCGTCCTCACCGGCCGAGTGCCGCTGCGACGGGCGGCGATGTCTGCGCTGCTGCGGTGGCGACGCCGAGGGCTTTCTTCTCAGACCGGATGATCCCCATGATTATCGGGTGCTTCTGACTCAGTGTTACATTGTCGTCTCTGAGAAGGCCCCTCCGCACTCTGATTTCTCGGCTGGATCGCACTGGTCGCAGCATGAGGTTTGGATTGCTCGATATGTTTCCTTATTTTAGAGAATTTACAAGCACGGCGAGGAAGAATCCATGCGAGTTTTAAATAGTGCATAAATTCTACAAGCTACTGGAAATGGAAAAGAGAAGTGGTTGTTACGCAATTTTCATTATGTGAAGTTTCGTTCGAAATTTATCTTCCTCGATAATTGCCATTGCAACTTTCAACCAAGGAAGTGCTGCATTAACGGATTAGAATCATGGTTGATAACTCCGTTTGTAAATACGCAGGGCTGTCATGGATATGCGAGAGCGGGAGTCGCTTCTGTTTAGTTTGGATTATATTGCTCCGGTATTTTGCATAAATGCGGGCCAAATTTGTGTATGTGTGATTAAAGCTGTTTCTGTTTTACAGATTGTGGTGAGGACTATCGAACTCATAATCTGTACACAGCCGGCCGATAGCAATGTAATTTGCAGTGGTTTTGATAAGGTTAGAATTCACGATTTCGTCTCTCTAAAAAAATCCCAATTGCTTGCTATGGTGTTAGATTTTTCAGTGTTTTACGCATATATATATTGTGTTCGGGTCTTAAGTAAAGATGATAAGACTGGGAGTTATGGCATGTCAGTAGGCATTATCCTTTGCGTTATTCTCTCTCACATGCAATGGATACCTATCTTCCCTTTCGTTGAATGAAGTCTGATGTCACTTTTGCCACAGATATACGTTTGCCACATTCATTGGACTATTGGAGCTTACAAGAAGGCATCTAATTGGTGTTAATGACAAAATAATTTTAGTATATTATTAAAGTGATTATGAGTTAGATGGGGAAGCTTTTAAAACATTTTTTGCAGGGATGTTTCAAGGCTACAATTATTGATCTATTTTTAGATTTAAGATGGAATCGAGGCATTATTTATTTCTTAGGACTAAGAACTAGACATGGCTTCAGTTATACTATTAGTTTTGATAAATTTATTATCTGGAAGAGGGCAACGAGTATATTAATATTTGGTCTTTGCCCTTTTTATCTCAGTCAAAATTAACCAATCATGTTTAACAGTGTATCAAGTCAAGTCCAATTGTTGATATTCTAAGTTGTCCAGCTTGGGATCTTCTCTTAAGCAGGGTATGCTGTCATTATGGATTTTTCATCAACTTTCTTAAACCTATGAAATTGATATTTTTTGTTATTTGCTGATATTTAGGTGTGAATTGAAATTGGCAGGTGAGGGATGATTTGATGTTCTACCTGCTAATGCACACTTCAATATTCTTACCTTTATCACAGAAGAGTCACCATCAGGTGGCAGGGCTTCCCATCAATAATTTGTGCATTAATTCATCAAAATATTCAGCTGGTTCCCCAAACCAACATAATTTATTTGGTAAACATGGTAACTAGGACTTGTGGTTATTCCATTTTAGAGTTTTTAAATGGATGTCATTGCATCCAATTCTGTTTAGTTCTTCAATTAACATTAGACATTGATACCACTGCTATCTTTCTTTGTCAAACTCATTTAATGTGTCTGTACTGATAGCTTGTTAGTACAAAGTACAAACAGAAACAGATGCTAAAGAGGATCACTCAAATTATTCTCAATTATAAACATGACCAATTTGATTATAATAAATCTAAGATGGAATCATTGTCACATCACTCATGTCAATGTACTCACCATTTCAAGTGTTATTTATTTTCTTTCTTGACCTTGTTCATTTCTCATCCTGGACATGCGAGTGTTTTGCTTCCTTTACAGGTAATCTGTAACCTATAACTTAGAAGATTACAAGAATGCTGTAATAATGGCGATCAAGTTTCAAATTTATTTCAGGACTGCAGAAGAAGAGGAGGAAAGGAGCTGATATTGCTAATCCAATCATGGATGGTGGTCAACCTAGTGGTTCCTTCAGTAGTTCCTGTCCCCCCTTTCATACTGGATATTTTTCTGGGTGCAAAAGGAGTTATATGCAATCATCATGCTGGCATCAAGAGGATAAACACTACCAACTTGGTTCATCAAACACAATTAGTCAATCAATCAGCGCTCCTACTCCTACTCTTGAAAGGAATTCAAATGGGAAATTAGAAAAGTCAATTAAGTTTGTTACAGAACTTGGAAAGCGTTCAAGGCCATTTAGATGGCAACGGGAAAGAAAGCGTAGGCTGTTAGACCCTGGCAATAGTTGTAATTTAATCCCTTGCACGTCAATTTGTTCTGGTAAGAATACCTTACATGGGAAGTCTCCAAGTCAGTTGAGTGCCCAGTCATGCCATTCCCACAAGGTACAATTGAATTTTATGAGAGTACATCATTGGTCAAAGTATTGATTTATTTGAGAATTGTTGGATGTTATCTTAAAAAGGTTTTAATTTAATTTAATTTATTTTCATGAGATATGTGTCCTCCAAAGTTAAATGTTTAATATTCTCCTTTTAAATATTTTGATAAAATAAACCTCACATAAATTACGCAACATATGCAAGGGAAAAACTATTTAATATTTTTTTGGCAAGTATATGATGCATAACTTGCATATTTTTTTAAATGACAACGATAAAGTTTATTTTGTTGAGTGCTGCTGAATAAGTGGTCTGTTTAACAAACTAGGTGATTTAAAGTTGGTCCATTCTGATTGAAAGCATGACGTGCAATCCAGAATTCAATCCTGAGTATGAAATAATGTGCATCCAATTTAAAGAATAGGCAATATGGAAACAATTGTGAACTAGTGTTAGCAAATTCATTGTATGCCCATAGCAGATCGAGTGATATATGCTCCGTGAACTCTAATTCTAAATGTTAAGTTTTTGGCTAGAACTCTACATGCATTTGCATGTCTGCTTCATCTTTTTATATTGAATTTGTTTGTACACATTTTCTGAGTCTTGTTCAACTTTTCACCATTTTCTTTGTTTTAATTTATATATTATGCCAGTGCATTGGTTCTTTATTGTTGCAACCTCGAAAGAATATTGCAGAAGAGGTTTATATTAACAGGAAATCCATGTTTTACAACCTGGACTGTTCTCCATCAATTCTTCGGAGAGGAAGTATCCTATTATTTAGGTTATCTTACGTTGATTCTTGTCTATGTGTATTAGCTGGTTCTTCATTTGTAACATTTGTTCATTTAGGTGGTTCTTGTGTCTCTGCTTTACACATATTTGTTTTTTGAGCCTTTTGAAATAAACATATTTGTTTTTTGTCTCCAGAATCTAAAATTAACACATTGCAAAAATTTTGAGGATGCAAATCATTTCCCAATTCATGTGACCTACGCCTATTGAAATGATTGTCCTTTATTGTTTAAACAGTAGCCAGGTTAACCTTTGTTTGATTTATGATTCAGTGGTGGCCAATCCTGCAATCAAATTCTTGCATAGTGCTCTTATTCTGTTCTATTAACGGTCCCAATTTTTTTGAGTATATTATTACTGAAAACATTTATGATGTCCCTTAATTACTTTCACAGTAACTGTCTAGGCCTTGGAATTATGTGTTCCTCTTTTACAAATAATCAGATGTACTTCGTTCCTTGAAGCCAAACCATGCTGGTTCAGAGAGTCTTGCTAGACATATCTTTGGCTCGTATGATGCAATTGGAAATACTCCTTCCGCATTATTCTTCTGCAACAGTGGCACCTGTCCATTTGGATTGAACTGCCTGTAAGTGGAGTTGATTCCTTCTTTGGTATTGCTAGAGGTAACCGAACTACCAATTTAAATCTGAGTCTATTGCAAGACTTATCAGTCATATCTTTTTTCTGGGATTGAAGGTTATTTTAATGAAAGAGGTTGAAGAACTCATATTTCCAGGATATTGACATGTTATTGAGAAGAATTCTGGAGATGGATGCGTTAAAAACATTGATATCTGTTGCATGGTTATCAGAGTCCGGCCTTTTTTTATTGAAATTTCCCCAAATAACGAGTTTGACTTTTGAGAATGGATATGCAGAAAAAGATTGATATCTGTGCTTGACTATCAGGGTCTAGGGCTTTCAGAATGAAACTTTTCCTTTTTTCTTTTTTTGAACAAGAAACAACTTTTCATTGATATATGAAAAGGAGAAAAAGTTCAAGAATATAAACTCCTAAAGGAGCAAGAGAAAAAAGAAAAGACAAAAATATAGAATAGGCTCAATAGGGAGCATTAAGAATAATAAAAGCCACATGAAACTCTCCCATATAATCTCTCAGTTTCACTTTTGTTTATTTTCTGATTTCATACTTTTGGTTCTAGATATGCTTTTCTAAAAAGAGATTTTGGTTCCAGATATCATTCACTTATCAAATTGCTCAAGGTTCTTATACGTAGAAGCCGTAATTGTCAATATGTTAGATTGATGGATAAACACTGTGGTGTCGCATCATTAGACCAAATACCTGTTGGAAATTCAAGCTCCATGTTTGAGGTTAGTACCCTTTGAGGGAAGAATTTGAAGTGTATATTGATGTTGACAAATCTATTGATTTGATAAGACTCAAGATTTACCAGTCATCCGTATAAATTATTATTATTACTAGGATCATCATCATTTGCCATGCACAGTATGTTAACACTGCCAATTTGCTGGAGTGTATGTTTTATGATAATCAATGCTACCTTTTCCCTTTTTAAAGTTAGGTTGAACCTAGGTGTGTCATTGTATCAGCTGAAGGTATTCGGTGAACTAAATTCTTTCTTCTTATAAAGATATCTAAATCTTTCAGTGTCATGGAAGTGAGTTGGATATAGAAGTTGGTGAAGATGCCTGTGGTTTTGATATCAAACAAATCAAGAATTCTCTAGAACCAATTGATCCTCAATTTGCAGCAAAGTTCTATTGCCCTAAAAGTCAGGTGGTCTCGTTCATATGGGCTGTTTGTCGGAGTATAGTTCCTGCAGATTTGCTGGGTACCTGTTCTAATTGGAGGATATTGAGGAGAAATATTTCCAAGTTTATCAAATTACGAAGATTTGAAAATTTTTCCTTGAAGCAAGCTATGCATAAATTGAAAACCTCAAGGTTTCCATTTCTATCAAATAAACTTTCTTTATGTTGCCAGAATGATGAGGTGTCTAACTCTATGGGGACGAAGGTCATGCACGAGGGATACAGTATGCAAAAGGAAGCAGTATGCATAATGAAACACAATCTAATGGAAAGGTGGATTTATTGGTTCTTTTCACATTTGGTTGTACCATTGATACAAGCTCACTTCTACGTTACTGAAACTGAGTTCGGGAAACAAGATGTTTATTTTTTTCGGAAGTCAATTTGGGAGAAGTTTACAAAGAGCACCATCACTAATAACTTTAATGATAAAGGTTATCGTAACTTGAATGACTCAGCTGTCAGAAATATTCTGGCAAGTAGATCATTTGGTTTCTCAAAACTTAGGCTGTGCCCTAAAGAAAATGGAGTAAGGATTCTGGCAAATCTCAAGGCATATTCAAGAATGCCAACAGAAGAGTTCTATTGCAAAGATGGTCAATCTCGTGGAGTGCGTGTAAGGAAAAAGCTTCACAAGTTTGATTACTACAAGCCTGTGAATTATGTTCTCCGGGATACACACGCTGTTCTGAAAGGTATTAAATTAAAAGAATCAGAGCTATTGGGATCATCGGTATTTGATTACGGTGATGTCTATCGAAAGTTACGGACATTTTTACTTGGTCTGAAGAAGGCTAAGGCTTCCATGCCCGACTTATTCCTTGTTGTTTCTGATGTATCAAATGCATTTGATTCTGTTGATCAAGATAAGCTGCTTGATGTGATGAAAAACGTTATTGTGAAAGATGAGTATCATCTTAAACAATCCTATCAGATGCTATGCACAACAAAGACTTCGTGGGTTCATGAGAATGTAATGTTGACTGATCCAAATATCAGCCCAAGATGTGCTTCTCCACAATTTCATTCCTTGCACTGTGTCAATGTTAATCAGGTGCTTTCTACAACTTACTCTTTGTTCTCAATGCGAAGTTTATAGCTTAATTTTTATACAGTTTATAGCTGATGCATTGAAATTGAAATTGTAATTGTACTCGTCCTAGGACATTCTATATGGCAAAGACTAACTGTGGTAAAGAGCCCATCAATGCATTTGTCCCATAAAGAAATTGTGATGCTACCATTTTTTCCCCCATTAACTTTTTAAAGTAATTTTAATCGCTGTAGTCTTGCCAAGGATTACTATTGTGGGCTTTTACAATTATTTTTAACAAAATACGAACTTTTTATTGATATGAAAATGAACAAAAATGTTCAAAGAAATAAACTCTCATGGGTGTGAAAATGAAATGGAAGAAAATACAACTAATGAAGTAAGAAAGCATCCCAGGAGTTAAAATTGGTAATAGAAGACTAACCTTTCACTGCAAAAATAATCATAATAGCTGTAGTGTGCTTCTCCCTACTTTTTATTACTGTTGTTGCTATTATTTGAGAAATCCTAAATCTAACTTGCATTAGGGCATCCATGTACACAAAAAAAGTGGTTAATGTTTGCTCATAGGATAGAACTTAAGAGGTTATGGTAGTTTAAACTTTAAATTGTTGGGTGGTGAAAGAATGAGCCAATTCAAACTATTTCACTGTGCAGAAAAAAAAGGATCCTAGGTATATAATATGCAAAATTTACATATTGGCTTATATTTGAAACTATAGAATCATCATGATTTTTTGGAGATATGACGCATTAATTGAATTATTAATTTGTTGTATCAGCATTCTTATGCTAGAGACTTAACCCTTGATGATACAGGCATTGATATATTTAGCATTTAAGGTGGCACGTTATCTCTCCATTCATATGAACATAAAAACATTATATGTTAGGATAAATGAACAGAATATTGGAACTTGTTCTCAATAGATGTATATTTTTTTATCAAGCTTCTTGAATTCTTATTGTGTATTTTTTTTAATTGTTAGCTGAATCTTGTAGGAATTGAGCAGATCCGTACAAAAGAAAAAGCTCTTTTCTACCTTATATGAGCATGTGAAGCGGAATGTTATGCAATTTGATAAGAAGTTTTACTTACAAGGATCAGGGATTCCTCAAGGAAGTGTTTTGTCATCTTTGCTTTGCTCATTATACTTTGGAGATCTGGAGAGGAAGGTGATTTTTCCATTTCTTGGAAGAGTTATTGAATCTAGGACTAATGATTTATCTGTGAGACAAGATTGTCTCGACATTTCTGTTTCCCGGAGTAGCAACGAGGGTAAAATTATATCCAATCCTGGTTATATGCTGCTTAGATTTATTGATGATTTCCTTTTCATATCAACCTCCAAGCAGCTGGCTACACACTTCCTATCCAGACTTCAGAGAGGATTCCGGGAATATAACTGCTACATGAATGAAAGAAAGTTCGGCCTGAACTTTGATGTAGGAAATACATCAGGACTTGTCTCCAAAAGAGTTTATGTTTGCAAAGATGGCATTTCATTTCTTCGATGGAGCGGTTTGCTCATCAACTGTCACTCTCTTGAAATTCGGGCAGACTACACAAAGTTAGTTGTCAATTCTGACCTACTGTCATTTTCACTTGCATTGATGTTTGAATGATCCACAAAAAGTTAGCTTATCTCATAATCATGCAGTAATTTTTTTTGTTCTGTTGAGCAACAGTTGCCAATAAATTATCTAGTCATTTGTCATAAATTTTTTTGGGGTGGGGGGCATAGGTGCTCTTTACTAAAATGATATTTCATAAACAAATGTGGAGTATTTCTTTTTCTTTTCGTTTGATAAAGACCAGATTGCTTTCTAATTGTTTCTGTCGACGCTCGACTTTATTTAAAGCATGTTCTTATCATCTCCCCAGTTTCTGGAGTTTCCAACTTTTTTCCTGTATAGCTTGGGTTATTTTTTTTATTATTTTTTTTAATGGCAGGTTTTTGAATAAGCACTTAAATTCAAGCCTGACTGTTTGCTGGCAAGGGAAACCTGGTCATCATCTAAAGGCAAAGCTGTGTGACTTTTTAAGGCCTAAATGCCATCCGATCTTCTTTGATTTGAATATCAATACTCCTGCTGTTGTCAGATTAAACATTTTTCAATCTTTTCTGTTATGTGCAATGAAGTTCCATTGCTACATTTGCCATTTATCATACATGTGCAAACTTCGAGGAGATTTTCTCTTAAACATAATTCTCAGATCTCTAAGGTCAGTATTGCTCTGTTAACGCCACTTCTCTTAGTTCCTTAAATCTAAGTCATCTTGCGTTGGTTTTTGGGATCTTCTGGCGCGTAATATGTATTGTTGTTCTATCATGGATAAAGTTCTTCATTTTCCTCTCTTTCGTGATAAGGGCAGAGTTATTTTGCAGGTATGTATTGATATTTTTTGAGGTCTATAGCTTGAGAGGAATGGTAGAACTTTTAGAGGGGTGGAGAGGCTTTCGGAAGAGGGGTGGAAAATTGTTAGCTTTAACACATCTTATGGGGTGTCGGTTTCAATATTGTTTTGTAATTACCAATTATGTTTTATTCTTTTGGATTTGACTCCGTTTATGCATGTTTAGGGTTTGGGCTCCTTTTGGAGGGCAAGTTTTTTTTTATATGTCTTATATTTTATTTCATGTTTCAGATTGGTTTCTTATATAAGAAAAATTGTTGCGTGTTGAACATATTTGTGTGGAAACCATTTGTGCTTTTGCATGGTTAGGTACATGGATGTGCTCATAAAGAATAGGATGTCTTCTATTCAACTCGAATCGCTTCCACGTCCACGTCTACACCTCGAGAACGGAGAGGTCGAATGGCTAGGACTAAATGCTTATATTCAAGTACTGACAAGGAAACAGGCACGACATTCTCGGTTACTGTCATTATTGAAGTCCAAGTTATTTGCACACCGGTTGGTGGGGCGTGTCTCTTCAGATCTGATATATGCAGTTGATAGCTCACATTCATCCTTACTGTGGCAAATAAAATACTAGTTTCTTAATGGTAAGTATTTTGTAGTTTTGAAACTTTACCTTATTTACATTTGTTTATACATTTTGACAAATATGAAGTGGAAAATGATTATACTATTGAAATCTCCTTGTTTCATCAAATTTTCTATGGAGGTTGAAAGAAATGCACTAATGAAAATTTTCTGTTAGCTGAATATCTTTTATTTTGGTCAGAGGTTGATTTTTGATCCCATTAAGGTTGCCAGTTATGTTTGTATCTTACTAGAAAACATGAAAATTTGGCTCCACCTTTTTCTTCTTGTGGGTGCAATGAAAAAATTGGGTATATTTTAATTGGTCAATATATTACCTTTTTTTTTTCTTTTAGTTTAACATGTGGGAGTGTATTCGAACGGTTGACTTTTTGATTAAGGTCGATAATATATGTATTAATTAGTTGAGTTATGCTTTCTTTTCTAGTATAAATATGAGGATTGAAGATTGAACTTTCACTTCCAGGGAAGGAGTAAGATGCCTTTCGAGTTAAACCCATATTGGCAGTTAGCTATGCTTAAGTTCAGATTAAGACATTAATTATTTTCGTAAAAGTTGGAGCTTGAATCTTCCATCCCCGAAAGAGAAGTTTATGAATATAAAAAAAAAAAACCTTATAAAAATTAAAGACCGAAATTATTGCAATCAAATAGAAGGTACATAATCTCTTGAAAAGAGAAGGTATAATATGAACAAAATTCTTATTTGAAAGAATCATGGGCAATTAAATTAAATATTATATATAACACAATTTCAACACAAATCAATCTAAATATTAATATTGGTTTTTTCATTTAAATATTACTATTGTTTTTTTTTTTTTGGCATGGAAGAGTGGATATTCCAACATCATTCCATTTGTCTTTTAACATGATCACACGATAAAATAGGGTTATTGACTGATACAACATAGAGGATTCTTTTTAGTTGATAGGTCATAATGCAATAACCAATTTAATTATATTGGAATTTTTAGTGGTAGAACATAAAAGTTAGATATTTAATCGTTAATTAAAGAAAAGAAATTGAAAATAAAAAAGAGGCGATCTACGTGTCAGGATCTGGCGCCGGTTTCATGAAAAGCCCGCGTTGCCGCTGGTGATTTTAGCAATAGCAGAAGTCTTGCTGCCGAACGAAACAACAGCACTTCTCTTCTCTCTTCTCAACTCGAATCCAAACTTCTCTCGTCAATCTGCTCCGCCGTACACTGGGTTTGAGAAATTAGGGTTTCTTGGTTCGGAAAATGGCGTTGGCTAGGCGCATGAGATCCACCATCCCCGTCCTCAACAGGTTTTTGAGATCCGAGTCCATCTGCACTCCGATACCGGTACTCACTTATTACTGTTCTTATTCGGTTGGGGTTGTTTTCGGTTTGGGACGTTCCTTTGTTGTCTTGCCTCTTCCATGTCGGATTCGAGGCGAAATGTCGAGCTCTTGTACTCTTTATTTGTCGATTTAGGCTTTGCTGAGTTTATAATATATTTGGTTGATCGGAAAAAGGGGGGAATTTGTAGTTTTAGAAATTATGATCCGGACGACATAATGTTGATCATCCGAACTTGTGTACTGTATGTGCTGAATTCGTTGATTCGAACCGCGTAGGGAATAGGTTTTTCGGTTACTTCTAGTGATAGGTTAGAAAAGACGTGGAGCTTGTGATAAATAGGTTGAATTAGGGAATGACGTTTTTGGGTGGTTGTGCATTCTTAGTAAATAGGAAATGCCAATTTCTTTATTTTTTTGATATCAAATCGAGGACTAAACAAGTTTTACTAGGTATTGGAAGCTTCTATTTCGAATTTCCCCTTGAAATTGGTTGATGCTGGCGAGAACGAAGCTGGTTTCTTGAATTTTCACTTTTTTTGTTTTAGTATGGTTATATCACTTCAGTAATGTGCTTCCTGACTGGCTGCAGCTCTCAAGGACTTATTCCGCTACATCAGGGAAAGTAGAAAAAGTCAAGGTAGGTGAACCATAGCCTTAGTTATTGAGTCATATTATCATTTTGCTTAAAGATTTTCAGAATTACTATTAAATGTTCTCTTTGGAAGTCTGGGTGTATTCGGAATATATGTCTCTTCCTGGAATTCATCGAAGTTATTTTTACAAGTGTGTTTATTTGCTATATTTCAGGTGCCTCTTGCTTTGTTTGGAGGGTCTGGAAACTATGCTTCTGCTCTATATCTAGCTGCAGTAAAAGCTAATTCTTTAGAGAAGGTGGAAGCTGAGCTTGTTAACCTTGTTGAGGCTATTAAGAAAAGCCCTACATTTTCTCAGTTCACAATGGACCTGTCAGTTCCAGCAGAAACTAGAGTTAAGGCTATCAATGAAATTTCTGCTGAAGCTAAATTTTCAGACGTTGTAAAGAACTTCTTGGGTAGGACTGATTACTCTTCTGTAATTGTGTGGATGAAAACTAAATTTAGCTTTTTGGTCTTTGATATTTCAATGCCTCTCTGTCACCATTGGGCCCATATTATGCAGCACAATCTGTTTGTTAATGTGTATTTCTTTTTCTATGTCAATTGTCAAATCTTGATGGTATCATTTCATATGTATTTTAATTTTTTTTTTGCTAAAACTAAAAGTTCAATTCTTTTACATTCCTTGATTGTCCTGTATTAGATTTTTGAGAGGTTTGAGGATTTTTGCCTTTCATGATTGAAGAAGTGAGTTTTATACTATATAATTTTTGGAATATTTGAGATGGTTAATGAGGTTCCTGACTCACGCACTTACATTTTGTTTGAATGGCTGAATTATTCGTGCTGTGCAATTGTTGATACTGGCTATATGCACTAATTCAAGGAATCTTATGTGAATTCTCACCTGGAATTATTTTGATTATTTATTGTAGTTGTTCTGGCTGAGAACGGGAGGCTGAGATATGTAGATAGCATAGCAAAGAGGTTTTTGGAGTTGACTATGGCTCATAAGGGAGAAGTTAAAGCAGTTGTTACAACTGTTATTGTAAGTTTCTTTTACTGTCCTTTTTGTTTTTGTTTTTAATTCAGGTAAAGTTAGATTATTAAGTACAAAGTTCAATGTGCAATGTGATTGAATATGTTTAGCATTGACTAATGAAAAGTGATATTTGTGTCTAAGGGATGAAGCTAATATATTTCCGAAATGTCAAAAAACTAAACAATAAGGATTTCGTGAAATCTTCTAACTCATTTAAATCTGGCGACTGATTTGTGGATGATGTGGGATGCCTTTTCTATATGTGTATTAGGAGGCTTGTCGGACTATTTATATTTGCTTTTATTTCTATTTTTAGCCTATTGGTACTGGAAATTCGTTGATTACAGATGTAAATGTCGATTACAGAAGAAATTTGAAGTATATTTGTTGACATTTAAGGTTAAATGGTTTTTATAAGATCAGCACGCAGCTGTCAATTATTTGTAGTTTTTATCTCTTTTTTTATTGACATTATATTTAAAACTCGATGCTCATCACAACTGATTGGTATTTTACCAGCCCATTCCACCTCAAGAAGAGAAAGAATTGAAGGAGACATTGCAAGATATAATTGGACAAGGCAAGAATGTTAAGCTCGAGCAGAAGGTATTTTAGTTGGAAAATTTTTAGGTTTTAAATTTTACGAATTAAGCTGCATGCCTTTTGAGAAATTCTAACAGTGCACTTCTTGTATTTACCAGATTGATCCCAGCATACTTGGTGGTCTAGTTGTCGAATTTGGAGAGAAGGTATTTGACATGTCTATTAAAACCAGGGCACGTCAAATGGAGAGGTTCTTGCGCCAACCTGTTACCCTTGATGGCCTCTGAAAAGGTGTTTAACTTCTGGGGCACGATGTCACCATCTGCAGCTATTCGACATGTTGTCATCCATGTTTCTGGACAAAGATATTTCTTGTTTTATTTTCCACCGATTATTTTTGTTGCCTTTTTACCTCAACTTGATATGATGGTATACTACCGTCTAGATGGAAATAAGAGTTACGGCTTTTTATGTGGATTATAATCTTGTAAGAGTTACTTGGTTTGACAGTATCATATTTCTGGGTACTTTCAAATTGATCTAAGTTTTACTTCCGAATAACGACAGGTCTATCATTATTGAAAAATAATGGCTTCATATCTTACTGCCCAGTTGTTCTATGAGGTTGCACTCACCCTATTGATGTGGTTGCTTCCTTACCTTCTGGAACCAGTAGAAGCTACAAATTCAACATATTCTGCAGTCCGAAATTGCATTTGGATTCTTCTTTAAATTGGATGCAACAATTGAATGCACAACACTATCTCAATGAAAAATGATAAAATATCTTTATTAGTTTATTCCACGAGAATTATTTTCATGCAGTTTAGTGTGTGTGAACCTTGATTCATATTTCTTTGCGCTTGAGAGAAATAGGATTTCTTTGTGCTTGAGAGAAATAGGAGAGTTTTTAGAGATGTGGAGAACCCTTAGAGGAAGTTTGGGCCTTGCTTTAGGTTCAATGCCTCCCTTTGGATCTCGGTTACTACAAATTTTTGTGATTATTCTTCCTCTCTCAAATTTTTTGAATGGGAGCCCTTTTATTTTGTAATTGGGTAGTTTTTTGCTTTTTGCTTTTTTGCTTCTGGCTCCTTTGTTTTGGGCTTTCCTTTTTTTCTTTTTGTATTAGTCTTTGTACTTTTACATTTCTTCTCAATAAAAGTTGGCTTCATATAAATCTTCACAAGTTGTCTGCCCGACCATGTGAGTATTTACATGTGGTGTCATGGCAAGTTAAAGCCACTATTTTTGACTGACTTGAATCCTTCCCTGATACGATAAACTCAAGTTTGTTCTTATTACAAGCTTCGTATTGGGGATATGTGATTGAGTAAATGCAAGCATATTCTTCAAAGACTATGAACTTCTCATCTTAGTTTTCAGAATAAAGATGCTGTATAGTTATGTACTTTGAAAATCACGATGCTTTACATTTAGGATGGAGTGAAATGATTTCCTAGTATGTTAATTTCTGCCATATATTTTTCCTTGGCTTTTATGTATTCAGATGAAGTCCAATGATTTTCTAGTATGTTAGTTTTTGCCATAAAATTTTCCCTTGCCCTTTCTGAATTCACCAAATGCCACCTGCTATTCCTGGGAGATGAAAAGCTGGTCTTCTTTTGTAGCATTGATCTGCTTTTCCTTATGATGATAGCATCTCTTGGAGTCTCAGATGCAGAAGAGGTACTTTCAATACATTCACAGATAGGAAATACATTCACCTTTTCTCTGATGGTTTCTTTGATTACTTCAACTTTTCATATCATGATTTTTGGTTGAATGGCTTTTGTTTTGATATGAATACAAGTTTACAAAAAAAAAAAAAAAAAAAAAAATCTGATGTTAAAATTCTCATTGTGCTTCTGATGAATGCCAGGTGTATTATGGAACAGGTTGGTTTTCTTATCTTTGTATCCAAGTAGGATGTTGCTTTGTGTAGGATCATAATCATGACTTGGTTTTTTCGTACAGCTGTATATAGATAATTGAATAGAATGCTTTTTTGAACATTTGAGTAGCTTTGGAGTCTACCACTTGCTTTTTTGCTCAGAAAAATTATTTACAGTCTCTTTCAGGAAAAAAAGGAAAAAGAAGAAAAAAAGAGGGGAAGCTCAGACTAGAATAATTTATTTTCCCTAACAATTTCAGGATTTGACAAGGACCTTTAAAACTGTTTTCTCTGAGACAATGACTGGGAAATGGTGATGGATTTTCCATGATATTATGTGTGCATAGATGGATGTTCGCTCTCAAACATAGCATGCAGGGAGAGAGATTAGGTAGATTAAGAAATTGCTTAATAAAGACTTTCTTGACAGAATATGGGTGTCTTCTTTTTCTTCTTGGTTTGGTTAACTTACCTTACATGAAGTTTTAGAGTTGTGTTTAATAGGCTCTAATAGGTCTGTAAACTTTTATTGTGTCTAATAAGTCATTAAACTCTAAAAGTTCCTAAAAGGTCTTTAAACTTTTCATTTTACGTTTAATAGGTTCTTGACTTTTAATAAGTGTCTGATAAATCCCCCAATAAAATGAAAGTTTAAGGACCTACTAGGGATTTTTTAAAGTTTGAAGATCTATTAGATACAACCTTGAAAATCTAGAGACATATTAAATACTCTTTAGAGTTCATGGACCCATTAGGCACAACTTTGAAAATTCAACGACCAAACTTATCTGTTTCTTTTTCATTTGCTATTTGATTTAAACAGTGGATACCAAATTTTTTTAGCACGATCAAATATTAAATACAAATTCTGTTGTCGGAAAGGATCCAAAGTTGAAAAACCAGTGCTTGATCTGGGTAACAAGAAAATATTAGAATGAATAGAGAGAAGGATGATGAATACGTATGGAATACTTGTATAATTCTTGTACACATTCCAAGCAATTGACAGCAATGATGGGTATGTTTTTGGATAAGAATACACTAATACCACGTAGACAATCAATTAGGCTAGCTAGATTGCTTGAAATTGTTGTTGGTAATGAAAGAATTTGAGCAACTGTTGCAATTAATGGAGCTAACTATTAGATGGGTCATGTTATCTCTCTTGATTGATGTAGCAAGCAATATCTGTTCATGTGACTTTAATATCAAGAATGCTCTCAAACTGATTTTACCATATTTATTGGGTTAAGTTTTTGATTATTGCATTTCCCTTTGCTGCACCCACTACAATTATTTTAGATCTGTTTGATTGCAATTTTGGTTTTTTCCTTTTCCTTCTCTAGAATACAGAAATCATAAAGTCCCATATGTTGGAAGGTGACACCAATATTATAAGTAATATTTCTTATCGATTAAATTGGAGTATTGATATTTTTTTTTATAATCGGGAGTTGGAGTTTTACTCCCCTACACTCAGGGACACTTGCACCCGCTCCAAGGCTCGGGCCCGGGGACAAAATCGGGGTATTGATATGAAGATCTCACTCCTGCCTTATGCTTTTATGGCCCACCATCTCAGGGAGATTTCGTCCATCCTAAGGTCAGTTTTGAAAGACAACAAAAGATTTCAAATTATTAAATTCATATGAGGGGCTTGAACCCGAGGCTTTGTGTATATTCTGTGTGTGATGTTGAACGAATTAGGGTCGAAAAAGAAGAAAGAATTGGCTTTGATATTCCTGATGAATTGATCTATTGTGTTTTTATTGAATTACAACATAATTATATGTTCGTTTATCCTCCTTATCAAAAGGAATGTTCTTGAGAAGATTTAGACATGTTTGTGTTTCTAGGATTTGCTGTCTTACGTTGTTTGCGGATGTTGTTTGTTGAATTTGTGCATCTGTTTTGGTGATAGGAATATGTTTGGCCTCAAATGAAGGAGATCTCATGCAAGGAATTAAAAATAATTGGATGATCTCCCATTGAAGGGATGAATAGAAAAGAATACAGAAAACATTTATCAAATGGTGGAACACTAAAAAAACCCATCCCAAAGTACCAAAGTACATTCATGTACTCTCTCTCTCTAGGTTTATTCTTCTTAGTCACGTGTCTCTAGAGAGAGAGAGAGAGA